CTCACAAGATCTTTTTCACACTGTTGACTCTGTGAAGAATCTTGGGATCTGTGTCTTCAGTTGTCAAAAACACTTCAGCAACCAGGAGTTCCCAATTTTCTTTAAACACACAAGCACAGCACTGGTATTTTCAATGGCTAGATGTGTGCTGGTTTCTCTGCATTGGTCATGCTTTGCAGCAAGTGGCTTTCCCAGTCTTTCTTTCCATGATTCCTGCAGGGTGACCTGGCTGCTGAAATACCCATTCATAATTGACAATGCCATGTATGCATATTTGTCATTTAAGCTCCAGAACTGTGTGTATCATAGAAGTGCAAACTGGGTCTAAAGCCCCCTTGAAGCATTACAGTGACCTGGTCAAGGGTGCTTATAGCATTCAGGCAGGCTGTCCAGGGAGCTGTAACTGGATTTGACTCACAGCTGAATATACAGTTCATGGCAGGCAGATCCAGGTTTGTTACCATGCAATTTGTAAAACAGTTCTAGGCTTTTCAGATAATCTGGTTTACTTCTTAAGGAAAACAGTTCAGCAGAAGAAAACAGCTTGTCCTCCTTAGAGATGGAACAAATCTTGCTTGCTTTTCTGTTTGAATCACATGGCAAAAGTGACAGGCAGGAGATAGTGAGTGCACATTGGGGTTAACCAAAAGCAGAAGCAAGGTAAAAGTCATTTCAGGCGAAACTGACAAGTACCACCCTCAACAACAAGCACTGGCACTCTTGAACAGCTGTGTGTTATCACAGTGGTAATGCTTTAAGCTGTGGTGGGTGAAATGTGACCCTCCAGATGTTCTTGAATTATAACTTCCATCATTTCTCAACCATTGTCTCTGCTGGCTAGATTGATGGGAGCTTCAACATTTGCACGCCACACTTTACACTCTTGTTTGAAAAGCAAGCTAGATTTCAGAAGCGAACCAGTGTGGTGTAGTGCATAGAGTGTCAATCTAGGAGGAGATCTGGACTCAAACTTAACTATGAACACTCTCTGGGGTGAGGATGTCTGTTGGTGGTGATAAACTCCTTCTTGACCTTCTCGAAAGCCCTATTAAGATGCTATAAGTTGGAAGTGGCATGACGGTGCTTAAGAAAAAGAGTTTATATAGTAGATCTGAAGCATCGTATTAATAGGGACCCAACTCCACTCATAAATGAGGCCATGGGAAACATGGGAGGCATGTGTACCCCTCCATGGTACAGTTGGATAGGTTCAGTTTGCTAGTCCGCTAACCAGTGTCCCTCAGGAAAGACACAGTTGGCTACCAATGGCCTTTCGGGTGCTGGGATTCCTAGAGACAACACAAGTAAGCCTTGTCAAATATAGCAAGGAACTTCATATAAAGGAATCCATACTTTATATAGATCCGTGACTCTCAACCTTTGGATCCCCAGATGTTCTTAGACTAAAACTAGCAGAAACCATTACCACTAGATGTGCTGGCGTGGATTTCTGAGAACTGTAGTCCGAAAACAACTGGGGATCCAAAGTTGGAAATAGAAATGTGTGTGAATCAGAAAAATGGCAATTTGTTTTGATTTGTGATTCATCAAGGTGAATGAATCACAAATAACGAATTTATAATTTTTTCCCTAACAAATTGATTAATCAATTCATTGATTCATTTTTGCCTTCAAAACCCTATAAAATACCCCCCCAAGCACCCAGACACCAAAATTGAAGGGAAGCTAATATTTTGTCTTTTCAAAATCTAATGAGACAAATTATTTTGTTAAAAGAGTAATGTTTCGATATATATTATGGACTCCTTAGCTGAAAGATATAAACCAGAGGGTCTTTTATTAACCTGCTTAGAACCCCAGGCGTGAGGCCGGGTTCGTTAAGCTGCCACTTCTAGAGTGACACCTTAGAAATAATATAGTGTCCAGGGCTAGGTTGATGACTTTTTTTAAAAAAGAAAGTTTTAGGTAATAGGGCTGAGACCGGATTTGATTCTTACCATGTGTTTTTCTCACTTTACACGCCAGGACCCCCCTCTGCTCCTCGGAGTGCCATCTCAAATGTTAACGAGACTAGTGTCTTTCTGGAATGGATTCCTCCTGCTGATACTGGTGGAAGGAAAGATGTGTCTTATTATATTGCATGCAAGAGGTGCAACTCGCACTCGGGCCTCTGTGAGGCATGTGGCAGTCATGTCAGGTACCTTCCACAACAAAGCGGCCTGAGAAACACCTCTGTGATGATGGTGGACCTGCTTGCTCACACAAACTATACGTTTGAAATTGAGGCAGTGAATGGTGTGTCTGACCAGAGTCCAGCTGCACGGCAATTTGTGTCAGTCAATGTAACCACAAACCAGGCAGGTAAGTGCAATTTCACAATGAGATAATTAGGTCCTGTGGGGTGGGTTTGGCCATGCCCAGGTGCCAGAGGTGGGGCTTCTTGCAAAACGACCACTGAGTGCAGCTCAAAATTACACACTTTCACTTTCAGAAATAAGTTTATGTTTTCTTTTTATTTCCTGATTTTGTTACTTGAACTACTAAACCAGACAATAAAAGTAATGTTTCCTGTTAGGAGCCCATTTACTAGAGCTGCTTATACACATTTTTCTTTTGTTTTGTTTTCTTCTTCTCTTTTCTTTTTTTAACTGTCAAATCACTCACAAAATGCTATTCTTCTTCTTTGGTGCAGAGACTAGTTAAATCTAGACCTCCTTAACTGTGTTGAAAAAGCCTTTAAAACAGTCATTACTGGTTTTAAGAACTCATTTGGAAATGAAGCAAAATGTATTGAATGTGTTTGTCATTTCACATGGAGATCCTTCATCAATTTTTCTTCTGCAGGATCCTGTCAAGCATGTTAGCTAGTTTTAGAGTTTTTAATCTTTATAATATAGTGTTGTATATTGACTGCTTTCCTTTTTTTTCCATTCAGTTGCATCTACATGTGTCATGGCTTCCCACAATACAGTAATGATTGCCTGAATTGTACTGTGGCTTTACACCAACATATGTGTAATTGCAGTAAACTGAACTGATGAATTATGAGTAATTAATGAGCCATCACTCTTATTCCAAATCAGTGTCAAGTTGTGTGGTAGGTGCATGACTAGAGATGTGAACAGCAACTCTTTAATTAGTAGCACTTCACTGCTGCAATTTACACAATTACACTTATGTCACCTAATCCAGTGGTCCCCAACCTTGGGCCTCCAGATGTTCTTTGACTACAACTCCCAGAAGCCTTCACCACCACCTCTGCTGGCCAGGATTTCTGGGAGTTGAAGTCCAAGAACATCTGGAGGCCCAAGGTTGGGGACCACTGGATTAGGTGATCCATCAGAAGATTCTGGGCAATACTTGCTAACATTACTGGAGATGGTTTTGAGTAACAGCTGAATTTTGGATTTTCAATAATAGAGGTTCAACTTGCAGTGGCAGAGGGATAGTTTTCTTTCCTGGTGACCCTGAGAGAAACTCATCAAATGCAAAACCATCTCAGTATGTGCTAGCCTCAGTCTAAGCGCCCTCTCCCTGCTCGCCGAGCCCAGACAGCTCCCTGGTATACTTCTGAACTGCGGGCGATGAAGCGAGAGGGGAGACGGCTAGAGCGCAGGTGGAGGAAGTCCCGCTGGGAATCTGATCGAACACGACTTAGAGCCCATTATCGGGCCTATTTCGTGGCAATACGGCTGGCGAAACGGCAATATTTCTCCAGCCGCATTGCTTCCTCAGAATGTCGTCCAGCAGAGCTGTTTCGGGTGGTCCGGGATCTTCTTCAACCGGGAAACCCGGTGGAGAGTCACCACCACCACCACATTTTGGGCTTCAAACGTGTTCTGCTGGTAAGGGTGGTTGTCTGTTTCGAAAGACTAGTTCAGGAATAACTTATAATGTTAAGCTTCCTTTCTTTTCATTAGCAGGTAGCTCATAACCATCAGAGGAAACATGACATCTATTGTGAATAATTAATTTAGGCTCTGTCTGTTTCAGGGAAGCCCCATGGCTATCTCAAAAGGAACGAATTAAGAAGTGGCCAAAATACTTTACTATCACATGCTAAATATAATGACAATTTAGAATAATATACAAACAGTTGTGCTTTTGTTGTTTACCATAGATGACTGGATTAGAAATCATGCAAAAGCATACTGCTTCTAAGGAAATATGGCCAATTTTGTGGGGTTAGCACAATTTGTTTTAAAAATTCACTGCTGGCTCCTTACTTCTATGCTATAAACTTCATGAGGGAAAAGTAATGGGGGTATTTTCTGCTTTCACAATGAAAATATGTAGGGTGTAGCACACACACCTTATCTAAATTTTTGTTGGCATGATTGTTTTTAGTTCATATTTAATGAAGTCAGCTTTGAATTAATGTATCATGGCAGACAGTGTTGAAACTAGATGTGATACTCGACACCGAGTTGCCTTAAAAATGGAAGTGCTGTTCTCAATTTTCTGCATCTACTGATAATATACAGTCAGACCACCAATGTCATTCCAAATTCCTTTCAGAAGGTTGTGAAGAAATACTTAGGAACACTGTATAAAAAATTACTGAGAAAACATTTATTTGATTCTGGGGATGTAGGTTTCATTGTGGTTTCCTCTAAACTCTAGAAGATTGGAAGTCCTACCTTAGACCAGAACTCCTGTCAGTGACTGGGTTGAGAGAAGAGGAGAGTCCATTTGTCACAACTCACCTAGCCTCCCATCCATGCATTCAATACAGCTGAATATTTAGACCACACCTAGGGATTGACTATACATCTGACTGTTTCTCTTTCCAGTGAAAAAACAAGGAAGTGAACTAGGGAGGCTGCAGTGTTTTGACCCTCCCTATTGAATCGCTCTTTGAATGTTAGAGTGAGAAAGGAAGACCTCAGTACAGAGCTGACATTTTTGGCTGGATCCTTCTGAAGGGTTTTAATTTGGTTTTTTTTTTGTGTGTGTGTGTGCAGTTGGACACAAAATGTACAGTGGGAAAGGAAATTGCACAATTAGAAATGGATACATGCACAGTTGGAAAAACATTAGGTTCTGTCTAATGGTTTATTTAAAAACCTTAAATAATAGATAATATTATATAACACAATTTATATAAGTGTTAAAAAGTTCTTGCTTTAAAACTGAACCACCCAAACCATTTTAAAACAACTTACAGTCTTGCCTCGCTTAACAAGGAAATTGCTGTACGATTAGGTTTTTGCAATCGCTTTTGCGATCGCAAAATGGTGGTTTAAATGGGTTTTTTCGTTTAACGATGATCAGTTCCCTGCTTCAGGAACCGATTTTCGCTTTACAACGATCAGCAAACAGCTGATCATCGGGCTTCAAAATGGCCACCGGCTGAAGAAAATGCCCCCCCCGCTGTTTTCTAGGATGGATTCCTCGCTTTACAGGCACTGAAAATGGCTGCCGTATGGAGGATCTTCGCTGGACGAGCAGGTATTCAGCCCATTGGAACGCATTGAACGATTTTCAGTGCGTTTCAATGGTTTTTTTTATTTCATTTGACAATGTTTTTGCTCTACAGCGATTTCGCTGGAATAAATTAACATCGTCAAGCGAGGCACCACTGTATTCTGTTTGGCCAGAGATGGTAACATGAGGGGATCTGCGCATACCACTTAGAATTTCATAGAGAGGATTAGGGATATCAATAGAAAAATATTACACTGGCAATAAAAGCAAATAATTGTCATCCTTGCGTAGAAGCTGGATATTCCAGTATTTGATAAGGTCATTCTAAGGACAATGAAATGTAATTTTGTATTACCAGTAAGAAATGCTCCTTCTAGAAATTCAGACTCATATGCCATAGTGCTGGACTGCCAGCTGCATTGCTTTCAATCAAAATTTTAGTAGCTAGCACCACAGATGGGATGCTGGCTTTTTGTTTCTCAATCCTATTAACATTATGTGAATATCAGAGTTTACAGAAATATTAATGTACTAAGGTTCTGACTGCTCCAGGTGTACACACTGTATTTGACTTTCAGTAACAGATTTGACATGAGTTTTGCCAAAAAATTTTTTTTGAAAAAAAACTTTGTTTTAGCTGAAGTAATTTAGTCATTTCTCTTGGTGATAACACTAAGTCTCCCTTTCTCAGACTTTATTTTTCTCTTTGACTGGAAGGAAAATGTGTGCAATAACTGGGAACCAAAATTATATTTGAGTAGGTAACAAATAAACAATTTCCATTTTGTGGTATTTTGTAAAGCAAAAGTTCTGCTGTCTTTAGCAAATCTTGTTTGTTTTACGTACTAGCACACATGCATCAATAATGTCTACTTTATCTTTGAGATGTTCTACCTAAACCTCCTCACATAAGCATTGCTCATTTGTTTGTCTATCTGCTTTTTGCCTCAGCTCCTCCCTGCTATATAACAATTCCCTTCAAGGGATACCACCAGACATTTCATAGGCTGGAAAAAACTGCAGTACACTGAAAGATACAATTGATTAGCAAGTGGTGGCTGATCTGATGAGCTGATGGAATTCAGTAATGGTCTGCCAGTGGAAAAAGTTGATTGATCAGTTATTTAATCCATGATTTTATGTTTAGTATCCACACCATGCAACCATTTTAATTTTAATGTGGCACTAAGATAGGAAGGGTTTCAAGTCTAATAAAAGCATTTCAGCAGTTAAAACGCCTCACTCCCAGCAGATTGTCCTTTGGACTCTTAAAAGAAAACCTGAATTTTACACCTGATGTATAGCATGCTTATTAAACACATCTGCACAGATCTGTATGATTTTATTTGTTTATTTAATTTAGAAAGTTGAATGCTGCTTCTCTGCCAATTGCATTCCAAGCAGTTTGTTTTGAATCTTACAGTTAAATCAAACTGTAAGCATCCATTTCTTCCACTGAATCCTCATTCCTAGCCCCTGGAAATCTTGTTCTGCCACAGATCTCACTTCTGAAATTTCAGCAGAGATTACCTATGCTATTTTCAGCCTGCCTTTTGTATGTGTGTAGGAGTTTCGAATTTGTTCCCCTCCCCAGAAGAATCATTGAGTTCTCAAGGTGGTGACATCAGTGTCCATCCTTTACTGTACTGAATGAAAATTGGAAAAAACATTTAGTCCTGTAATTGTTTTACTCACATACAGTATAAGACCATGGCAATTGGTTGACTCAGTTAGTCCCACTCCCAAAATTGCATCTCTATCTAATCATGAGAGGGGGTTCACCACTGCAGTCAGGTATTCCATGCTCATGGAATCTCTACGTTTAAGTAATGACTTTTATATTAAGATTCCTATGTTAGCCATACTGTTATCTCAGGAGGGGGCTTAAATCTTGATGTGACTCAAGTCTGATAGGGAAATGTAAAGATGACCAC